TGCCTGTACAAAGGAGGGATTATGCTATATTGTAAATAATAAGGGTGTGTAAACAAAAAACAAAACAAAATTCACTTGAAATCATTGCCGTAACAGAGAAATTCTTGTGGTGACCTTAGACTATAATAGCATTGCTTAGAGTCCATATTCTGCTCTTTTCCGATTAATTATAATTATAATGTCTTCTCATCAAAAACATACCTGGAGAGTTTTGTTTCATTCACATATGTTTGACACATACATCTGCATATTTAGGCTGAGTTTTTCACAATACTTTGTTCCACCGTGTGATCACCTGTGTGCTACAATGTGTTTTTAAAGTCTATACACTTTCACTACAAACATTTAGATGATTTAAACCCTGGAATTGCCCATCTCTATGGTAAAAATTATCTGTTAAACTTGAAAATTACTGCTTCATGACATTACAAGGTGGAACAGAGCCTTTTGGAGATGTAAACAGACAAATAATAAAAGGTTACTCAAACAAAACATAACTCCAGGTTATTTTTTGGTGATAATAACATTCTAAAATGGCTTAATGGTCTCAAGAGTCAATTTTGTGTAATACAGGACCTTTAACAGTTTGCTATTTGCATTATGGTGTAATTTTGGAAAAGAAGAGTTTAATAACACAACTTCAATTTTTGCCAGCCCTAATACACAACACAGCACATATTGTATTAATTGAGGTGAAAAGTTTCAACTCAGATAATGAGTTAAAAGCTGGAATCTACATTATTTCAGTGCGTCATGGTTACACAACTGGATCTAAATATCTCCAGCTCTTGCAGTGGTCAGTTCCCATTAGTAGTGAACCAGCACAGGTGTTAGATGTGAAAGGCAGTGGATGGCCCGTGGGGTTTCATGCTGGTTCTTCTGATGAGCCTACAGAAACGCCATAGATCACAGTTTGAAAGTTCCGTCCAACACTGCCATTAGTGACTGCAGGAAAAATGCCAAATTGTGTTGCTTTCCCATGGCATAAAAACCTACAAACATTCCCATTAACATCCATTATAAGCACTCATCTTCAGCAGTTATTATGAATGAAAATTATGTTGAGTGGATTTTACCAAGGAGGGATGGAATGATTTTTAATTCCTGTAAAATATATTTGGCTTTTGAAAACATTGCTATACAAAGAGAAAACTGCAATACTCCAATTACTTTTTAAAGGTGCACTGTGTAACTTTTCTGGTGGAGGGTCTGCCATCAGCTTGTCTCCATGGAGCTGTTATTGTTTTGCCTGGAATGGTCAATAGTAAAATATTAAACTCATCTATCTCCATGAAGATGAGCAGAAACACAATAAGGGCAAGATACAGATCAGATCTATGTAAAGGCATTTCAGAGTATTGTAAGAACACCTGTTTTTCATGGTATTTTTAAGCAATAAAAACACCTGTAATGGAATAAACAGAAAATAGACAAGTTTAATAGTGTACTGCAGTGGTTCCCAACCTTTTTTGCGCCACGGACTAGTTTTATATCCGACAATATTTCGTGGACCACAGGGAGTTGGGGATGGGAGGAGGCGTGGTGTGCAGTCCCGCAGCAGGGTTAAGTCCTGGCCAAATCTTGTTTTAGTCCTTTTTTAGTCCTGGTTTTAGACCTGTTGTAGACTGGTTTTAAACCATGTTTTAGACCGGTTTTAGACCCGGCTTTAAACCCTGTTTTAGACCTGTTTTAGACACGTTTTAAGTCTTGGTTTAGACCTGGTTTAGACCTGGTTTAATCCTGGTTTAGACCTGGTTTAGACCTTGTTTAGACCTTGTTTAGACCTGGTTTAGACCTAGTTTAGTCTTGGTTTATGTCTGGTTTTAGGTCTGGTTTAAGTTATAGTTTAGAGGGGGGGGGGCCAGGTACCAGACGACCCACGGCTTGGTACCAGTTTACCAGTTTCCGGACCAGGGGTTGGGGACCACTGGCGTACTGTGAAAAACTGCAAGCAAACAATCACCCACCAGTGGAGACAAACAGGTGGTGGAACCTCTACCAGAAAAGTTACACAGTGCACCTTTAATGAGACACTCATCTTTGCACATGAACTCTTTGTATATATGTAGTTTTTATTTTTGTATTTTTTATTTTACTCTTTATATTACACACTTACTGCCCGTTGAGCTTGGTTAGTCAAGTTCCATTATCCTTGAGGTAGAAAACTTGGAGTAGACGCACAACAAATTGGACTAAGTGGAAGTGACTTGTTCTCACTGTTTCAGGCAATTTAAAAACACAAGCACAGTTCTCTGCGGCCACAACCACCCACATTCCCCAACTGAAAGAAAGCGTGTTAAAATAAATGAAATTCTATTGGAAAACTACTCAGGGACGAAGAACAAAAAAGTTTTCGAACATTTTCTATCAAGCTCTTAATACATGCAAAACAAGCGAACAGTATTTGTGCGTCCTTACACTGCTAAGCTAACAGTCACTCAGGCACTTCAGATACATTTGCTTTGAAAATCTAATGTCAACAGCTGCAACTGGTGAAATGAGGTTTGCTGCGTTCTTTCTTTCGAATGTAAATGAGTGGCAGACAGAATGAAATTGTGGCATTCATAAATTACCTTTTCGACTTCTATACAAGGTTATTACTTTTCCCTGACTCTGAATGGTCTGCTGAAAGAAGCATTGTGTTACATACTGAACAGCAGATTCAAGCCTCTTAAACATATACTGTCTGGAGCTCTCTGGCAGTGGAGATAAGCCTATAGGGAATAATAGGACATATGGAACAAAACGTAATACTCAGCTTGACAGGCGATGCATTAAATGTCTAAAAACCCACTATTCTTTAAAAGCTAATTATATCGCTTAAGAACAAAGACAAAACAAAGATTATCTGTATTGGCGCTGATTGAACTGTCTTACCATCTGTCTCTTTTTCTTCACATAAAATATGGAAATTATGGAAATGTAGGATGCGATCTTTATACAATGGTATGAAAATAGAACAGTGTTGTATACTAATCCAAATGAGGCTTGCATTTCAATAGGTTTGCCATTAAAGGAACAGTATGTAACATTTCTAATATTGATAATATTCGGCAATGCCTGGGGGTGTGATGATAACTGTAAGCACTGCTCTGTCTGTGGCTTGTTAGACTTTAATCTGAGCTTTAATTCAATTCAATTCAAATATTCAATTTATTTCAACACAATGTGAAGATAAAGAGTTGGAGTCGGAATAGCTGCAGGTAAGCTGATATGTGCAGTTTAACAAGTCCCTAAAAGTCCATAAAATTACAGTTCATAAGCTAGGCTCCTGAAAATGTGATGTTTAAATTCATTTTGCACTTTTTCTTGAGTTTTCAGACCATCAGTGGCTCCATGGAAACTGATTAACATTCTGTCAATACACATACATGTAGAACACCCCCAGCGCGATGTCACTGCAAATTATCAACTGAGGGTAAGCTGGTGTTATTGTTTGTCTAGAATAAGGCTGGGTATCATTAAGAAGTTGCCGATACAATACATACCGAGATATATCGGCCACGATACATATATCGATACAGAGAACTTTCGATTTGATACGATATATTTCAAATCGATTCAATAAAAAATAAAAGCTAAATCATGGATGTGATACTAAAGGTCTAAACCACTTTTTTGTGCAAAGTTCATATGATACACAAACATTTTAACCATCAAAACAGTAAAAATGTCAAATTTGTTGCATAAACAAGTTTCTTTCCTCTAAACAAGCAACAAAACTGTAGCGCTGAAACAAAATCATTTAGTAAAATATACCAAAAAATACTCTTGGTGATATATCAATACAGCAGTCCACGATATCCATACTGTATCAGCACATTAAGCAATACAATATATTGATATTTTGATGTTTTTACACATGTAGTCTGGCAGGTTCCATAGTATGGCATTAGACCTAAATATATTGCAATATGGGTGCTTTTATCGCTCAAAAATATGTTGAAAACATCCATTCTTACTGTAAGCTCGCCTCACCACAGATCTGACCTGTAACCTGGCCTAGTATTGTCACCTAATTCTCTTCAAGACAGTTTTATATCTGATTGTGAACCATTTCAGGCAAAGCAGTAATCTCCATGGAGACAAGCAGGTGGTTTAACACAGACAAATCCAAGTTAGCTTTTAGTCCATGTTCAGTTTTAAATGGTGTGGGTAGGTATGATAAATTGTTTTAACAGAGCAATCTAATACAGCAGCATAATTGTATTCTATATGTAGGTAAAGGATTTGACTTGCTAATTAATTTCAGCACAGTTTAATATGAGTTTGCCACGTTGTAATTGTAGACAGAATAATGGTGCGGCGCTTGTGTTCATACAAGGTTAATTACGTGTGGAGCCAGGTGTTGTCTTTGTTTTCCTTATAAATTAGCCTGATTAGCACGACTGTCTCTGCAGCATAAAGCCCATTACACTGTGTATTTCTGTGGACTGTCTGCAGCGCGCTCATGGCAGACGTCTCCACTTGTCAGACACAGGTGCACACTCCAGTGATGAATCGCTCGATGGGATTCAGGTGCACCATTTTCAAGGCTTGGCTGTGTCTGCTCACTGCTGCTGCGCCTCTGTGTGTTAATAAAATACTAACAATAATGTAGGAATAAACTCTAAAATTACACTGTTAAATAATTAGCAGTTGGCAAACAGTGTACCCCACTTCACACTTGTGAGCGTTAGTTCTGATTTCCAGTACAGCTCCGGGTCCTGTCACATACAGAAGTTCTCTGATGACTCTGCAGTGGTTGGGTGTATCAGAGATGGACAGGAGCTGGAGTACAGGACACTGATTGCAAACTCTGTGGAGTGATCACAGGCAAACCATCTGCTCCTGAACGTTGACAAGACCAAGGAACTATTGACTGACTTCAGAAGGAAGAGGACACCAGTAGAGCCCATCACCATTCAGCGCCATGACGTGGAATTAGTGGACTACTATAAGTACCTTGGCGTCCATGTGAACAACAGGCTGGACTGGAGGGACAACTGTACAAGAAGGGCATGGGTAGACTCTACTTCCTGAGAAAGCTCATGTCTTTCAATGTGTGCAGCAAGTTACTGGAGATCTTCTACCAGTCTGTGGTGGCCAGCCCCTTGTACTTTGCTGTAGTCTGCTGGGGGAGCAGCACCAGTAAAAGAGACATTGGGTGGCAAAACGACAAACTGATCCGTGATCGGCTGTGAGCTGGAGACATTTGTTACAGTGAGGAACAGGAGGACCCTAGACAAACTGCTCTCCATCATGGACACTCCTGCTCAACCACTGCACCAGACTATAGAGAGACTTAGGAGTTCATTCTCCAACAGGCTCCTACAGCTCCGCTCAAACATCGAAAGATCTAGGACTACATTCATACCATACTCCATGTAACAAGATAAGCCTGTGTTTCTGTCAATCACCATATCATCTTTGCACTGTTACCTTTTGTATACAACTGTGATATTACGTATTTATATTATTATAGTTGCTTTTTACTTACTATACATACATTTATATAAAGTATGTCTTATTTGACACCAGCCTCTTGCTATTTTTTTTTTTATTGCTACTTATTTAGAAATGTATTACCCTTTGGATCAATAAAGTCTGTCTCAGTCTAAGTCTAAGTTAAGCCATGTTATAATGTTGTGACCACCTCAAAAACATACCTGGAGTACTGTTTTGGTTCATTCACACATTTTTGAGTCATGCTTTATTATTAGTCTGTCTACATCTACAAAGCTCCAAATGCTCTGTTCCACCTTGTGATGTCACGAAATGGTAGTTTTCAAGTTAACAGCTACTTTCTACCTTTTGATCAGTAGAGAAAGGCAATTCCAGGGCTGAAATTATCTAAATGATTCTAGTGACGGTATATGGCATTTAAATACAAAATACTCAGTGAACTGTATTACCACATGACATCACAAAGTGGAACAGAGTGTTTTCTGCTATTTGTGTGTGTTAAACATGTGTGAAGGAAACAAAACACAATTGCAGGTCTGTTATGGGCCCGTATAGGTTAAGTATACTAATATTAAACTCCTCGTGAAATTCATTCTCTGCATTTGACACATACTTCACACCTCCAGATTTAAGATAACTGAACCTGTTTGTCGAACAAAGTCTTTTTTCAAGATTTGGTCAGGTCTACTCAAATCTCAGAACTGAACAAGAGAACAACAGAACAATAGACAGACTGGCCAATCATCATGGACACTGAGCATCCTCAACAAAGTGCTGGAGTGTCTAGAGGAAACCCAACCCACCTGGGAGTCAGACCCACCATCTTTTTGCTTTGACTTGTAAGTGCCACTCTGCCATCATGCCCCAGCCGCTACTTAAAATTGAAGAATCACAGTTTGATCTCACCCAGCTCCACAGGTTGCTGAATATTGCGCAGAACTATTCCTCTTATTAATGACACTTGTCCTTCCCTCTATGAACAGTTTATTTGAGCATTAATAACAAAATAAAGAAGGCGACATACCTGCTTTGTTCCCCTGTCACTTGGTGAGAGAGAGGCAACATTTTGTGCATCTGTGTGTGAACGGACAACCCTTAACAATCCTGGCGCGTTTAACATCAGAGCGCCTGCCCGCCCATCACTTAACTTTTCGCCTCTGTTGTTCTGTAATTGCCTTCCAAAGCTACACACTGCAGAACTAATGCGCCCGGCTCACTGGCTCCTATTGAAATGTCAAATTGTTTTATTGAGAAAAGAGTCGGCATGCTGGTCAATGATCCCGAAAGACAATTCAGATGAAGCACTGAGTAAAAAACAAAGCTCAGAGGCCATTGTGTTTGTAGCTGGGGTTGTTAAAACAGAAAACGCTTTATAAAATTACCTGCTAAAGAAACACTTAAAATGTCTAATGCTTTCAGTCATCGTGTTATAAGCTATTTGGAAAGAAATTACACGCAAGCTGCTCTCACAATTGGGGCAATGAGCCACCATTTGGCCAGTCTAGGGGCTCAGTTGGAAATGAGACAACTAATTAGAATGCTGGAAGGTTACCTGAGCAACGGGGAGTCACTAAGGTAATTAGAATCATGTAACGAGGAATGCCACCTGAAAAAGGGAGCAAAACAGACAAATATTCATCAGGGCAAAGGTCAGATGCTATTCTCGAACATCTTAATTAGCTCATGAATGTGTGATGACCCTTTGACCTACTGGGAGAAGTTGAAGATTCTAAAGGTAGGCTGCTACAAAACAGGAAATAATAAAAAGTAAACAAAGCAAATTGCTTATTGTTGTGCCTAACTGGGCACAGTGCAGTATAGGGTCGCACATTAATAATTATTGTTTTGAGCTGATATCTACGGAGCCCGCCCGATGTTATTTCAAATCCATAGCAAGCCCCAAAACTAACACTGAGTAATTTATTTTCCGGTTAAATCAAAAAATAAAACATAAAAAAGTTCAGCCTTGATTGCACAGTTGGCAACCCTGACAACAAGAGGTCTAACTACATAATTAGCGCAAGTGGAGGCTTGAGTGAAGCTTAACAAGCTAATGTTGTATAAAAGAGAAAGAAATGAACGTGTGCAGTGCTTTATGGCAATGATGATTTTAGTCAGCCCCATGCTACACGTTACAGAGCATACACTTGTGTTTACAGTGGTTAGAGCAGCATGAGTTATTGCAACTGAATAAAAAAAAATAAAAATTCTTTTTACACCAGCAATAAGCAAATGGTAAAGGCTTATTACTGGCCTCGCCCTGCATGCGATTTTATGTATAAAATGACAACAGCATATGTCAGTGTTTTCCCTCATTCCTCCAAGAGTGCTGCAGGGTAGAGAAGGTTTCAAAGATAGTTATGGACAATGTTTTTGAAGTTGAGACATCTGCTAACATAATTTAAACCTCTATAAATGCATGCTGAAATGATTGTGTGTGTTTTTGCAACTGTTTCTTGTAATAATCCCCTCTCAAATGTTAGACTTTGGATCTGAGACATGTTTAAACTGTGAACTGAATCTTGATTTTTAAAAGTACTTTGCCATTAAAACTCTTAACTGCTTGTTGTAAATACTTAAACACAAAATATTGTTATTATTTTTCCAAATCCACTGAGCCCGGGCCCAATAATCTAATAGTCATAAAGGCAGTTGCTCAGGATGCACAACTGTGAATGCTTACTTTGTATTAACAACTACTACACCCACACACCCACATTATTGTTTTGAGCTAATAGCTGATATTGTAGTTGTTATTAAAATTTCAAAATCGATAACAAACCCAAAACTAACACTGAGTAACACTAGTTAACCTCTATGGAACTTTCCTTTTTAAATAAAAAAATAAAATATGAAAAGTTCACATGCGTACACACACACGTACGCACACACACACACACACACACACACAATATACAAACCCTGAGTTCAATGCAGTAGGCACTTTTAATAATATTTATTCCGTTCACATAACAGATCACTCATGACAACATAAAGAAAAGTGGCTCATTACCACAAGGATAATTTAGTGTTATCAGGCTGCTCGCTTGTGCTTAAAATAGGACATTAGCTACTGACAGCCCTGTGACGCACGTTTGATAAATGCCTAAACAGCCCCACCAAGGTTTAGCCCTGTACAAGGTCAGCGGACATTGGGCTGCTTTGTGTATTCACTGAATTAAAGGTGCATTATGTAACTTTTCTGGTAGAGGGGTGGCCACATCTTATCTATCTGCACCCATTCAATTACAGAGGATTCATTGCTCAAAAATACCTTGAAAAACATCTTACAGTGCATAGGTTTTCCTGGCCTTGCTTTCGTCTCTCAGATCTTACTTGTAACTTGGCCTTGTGCTGTCATCTGCTTGTTTCCATGGAGATAAATAAGTTTAATAGCATACTGTGGAAAGTTTTAGGGAATACTAACATTTTTCAATACTAAGAAATAGACTTGATACTTAATACTGATTCTGATTTTAATTAAAAAAAAAAATCTTTAGACAACAGAATGTGATATTCAACATTAAATCATACTTTCTTTTATATTACTATGTTTTATTATATCGATGTTCTATATCTAATTTCCATAGTATTTCGTGGGTGTATACTTGTTTATGTGGTCTTATATTTTTTTCTGATACAGCTCAAGAGCATTCTAAAACTATTCAGGTAAGGTTCATCTCTTTCCTGTGAATATGACTTTTTTAGTATTTGTACCAGCTCAAAATCGTGTCTAGTTCATTACTATTAGTATTTGATTTTCTATACTTTTGGCAACCTTAATACGGTAGCTTCTCCATGCAGACAAGCAGATGGCAGACTCAAAGTCACAAAACAGTGCACTTTTAAAACAGTCCATAACAGGAGCCATAAAATAAATCTAAATTCACAGCAACTTTTGAGATGGATGTTCTATTTACTTTGTCGTTTCCTGCCTTGGTGTTCCTAATACTTCAACTCGGGGCGTTTTGTGTGTCTATTACCAGCGCAGTGACAGATAAATTACAGGCTAAGAACTATTTCTGCTCTGGTGGCCTTTCTTTGGCGGGAGATGAACAAACGCGTCAGTTGGAGTGGATTGATCTGGTTGTAAATTAAATGTCAGGTATCAAGAACACAGGCAGGCAGCCACGAAATAATCATTTGTCTAATAAGGAGATCAAACCAATAAGCGCTACACTGACACTGCCAAATTAATTACGTATATTTGTGTGCAAGCAGCCAGTGTAATAATCTGGCCAGTTATTCATGCAGCACACTGTGAGACTTTAAAACAATCAGACTTGTTCAGAATTGCCTGGTTGCCATTGCTACAGCATGGAGAAGCAGACGTCAGCCAGATTAGACTTCATCACCATGGGTTTCTATGACAACTGGTATATGAAAAACCAATTGGGCAGAATAAAATCCATAAAATTGTTTCATTTTCGACATAATCACCAGCAGTATCCATCACCGTGTCCAACACTATTTTCGTATGATCACGGTCGGTGGTATTATCATTGAATTATCAAAGATATCAGGCATTTTGTATTTGACTATTACTTCGGTTAATATTGACATTATAAGTAATAGAGTAAATGTTTAAAAAGGGATGTGTATTCTTGCAAGACAAAGACATGCGATTTCAACTAGGAAAAGAACAATAGATTCAAACTTGGAGCTGATGCCGCAGTCCCCCATGTCTTTGAAAAGTACAGTGTGCTATCTGTGGTCATTCTTAGAGTTAGACCC